CAGCATTATTTAGAAGTGAGGGGATGTCAAGACCACGGACACAAAAGTTCTCCTTTATTTTCCTATGCTGCCAGGCAACATAGGTTGCTGGCTCCCTTTTCCCACACACAAGTATTTGTGATTTGTCCTCACATTCAAGCAACCTTCCAATGCCTATGGCTAGGACTTTTTTTTTTTAACCTCCCTCTAGTGTACCAGAGTCTGCTATTCTAAGCCCACAGATACACTGAGAATGATGACTAAGATTGGCGGGATCTGAAGTCAGTGATTCCACTTTAATGTGCCTATCTTTATTTTTGGTGCTTAATTTTTACTTTGGCCAAGCAGTATAGATATAATCTCATGTGTTAAGAGCAGCCCTAATGAAGGAGGTGCCATTATCATCTGTACATTTTTTTCCAGGTAAGAAATAAGGTTTAGATGAGTTTAAAAACATATCCCACCCATATTAGTATTTAAAGCTACGTTTAAAATGTTGGACGTTTGATGCTAAATATTTATTCTTAGCTTATTACCTGCTCTTGTTGTAGCTGGCCAGTTTCTGTATTATTGAGCTTTGGATATGCTGCTCTGTATTTTATTAGAGAACTACTTGCTCCTGGTTTGGCCTCAGATAAGCAAGTGGCAAGAAATTCAAGCTATTGAACCTTTTACTTTTCTTTTTTCTTTCTAAGTGGGGGATTAAAATTTTGAGATAATTTATTTTGACCAATAAAGTTCTTTATGTTAGCATTATTTTTGTTTCCTTATCAAATAGGATCAATGTATCTAACATTTATTGAGCATGTACAATGCCAGGCTTTGTTTTAGAGACATCTAGAACAAAGAGACATCACTGGATGTTTAAAAAAAAAGTCCCTTAGAGCTCAAAATCATTTTTTAAAAAGGGAAAAGGGTAGGAGAAGAAAAACAGGAGATAGAGGAAGAAAAAGAAGAAAGTATTCTTGTAAAAATCACAACACCCTAGAGAAATGGTTAGAGTTTTCAAACTAGGGAAGGGTTAAAAGTGAATTATCTCAACAGAGTGTGTATAAGAAACAAAGCAACGGAATGGGATATATTGACAATTAAGAGTAAATCTAAACCAGAAGGCCCAGATGGTAGTTATCTTGAATAAATTAAGAAATTGCCTAATGAATATATTAAACTAATTATTTTCTTCAAAAATTATGAACTGTTAAGTTAGAAAGTAGGAAAAAATGCCGTTTTCTAGTTAAATGTAATACGGATGTGGGTAGTTGTTTTACAATATAGATAAGAAGCATAATCTAACAGAAAGAAAAGATAATGATCAAAAAGAGAATGGAAATAAGTGATATGTAAATTTTATGGTTCCTGTTTCTAAATTTTCTAAATCAACCTGTAGTTACTTTAGGAACAGCAAGAAAGGATGGTATCTCACACTCTTACATGTTGAGCTGCCAGTAGCTCTTAGGAAAAAAATTCAAATGCACTTACCTCTAATTCTGATCCACTTATGTATAAAAATTAAAAATATAGTTTACCTATATGGAAATAAATGAAGACAACACAAATCATAGTCTATTTATTCAGAGCTTACTAGAACAGGGTAGTCAGCCCCATAGCTTGTATTTTTCAGACACTTGTAGGCAGGTAAGAGAGCTAAAAGTAAAATCTAAACATCAGTGAATGCACATTAAAAAAACACAAGCCAGCTGCTGGTGGATCACACCTGTAATTCTAGCTACTCAGGAGGCTACTAGCTACTCAGGGGTTCAAACCCAGCCCAGGCAGGAAAGTCTGTGAGACTCTTCATCTCAAATTAGCCACCAGAAAACCGGAAGTGGCACTGTGGCTCAAGTGGTAGAGTGTTCACCTTGAGCTGTAAGAACTCAGGGACAGTGCCCAGCCCAGAGTTCAAGCCCCACGACTGACAAAAACAAAATAAGACAAAACACCCAAACAAAAACAAAAACCACAGATACTGTTTTATGCCCAAAATGTCTATATAAACAATAGCAGATGATTAAAAAGCAGGTGATTAAGTATTGGCCAGGATATGAAGAAATCAAAACTTGCATGTTTTGCTAGTAAGAGGGTAAAATGGTGTAGCCAATTTGGAAACTGCTCTATCAGTTCTTCAAGAGATTAAGCAAAGTTGTTTTTTGACCCACTTTTTCCTAGGTAGATACCTAAGAGAAATGAAAACATACATATATGCACAAAGATTTGTACACAAATGTTCATAGAATCATTCACTAATGGTCAAAAGTAGAAACTCAAATACCCATTGTTAACAAAATGTGATACAGCTATATAAGGCAATATATGATATACCCATAAAAGGAAAGAATTACTTATCCATAATATTGATGAACCTTGAAAACATTATGCTACATGAAAAAAGCTATGCAACCACAGCATGTGTGAAATGGTCACAATACTAGAGAGGTAGCTTAATGGTTGTTTAGGGAGGGAAGAAAGGAGATAGTTAACATGCAAGCAAATGAAAGTTTTAAAATTATGCTGATGGTTGCACAATTTTGAACACATTAAAAGCCACTGAGTTCTGCACTTTAAATGGGTGAATTGAGTAACATATTCTGAATTACACACCTCAATAAAGTTGTTACAAAAAATCAGCAGTGCATAATGAATAGTTATAACCCAGGCATTTGTGTTTGTTACTGTCTTTGTGATTGTTATTTTTTAATCTTGTGAGGTGGGGGCGGGGGAGAGAAAAGCCACATAACAGAGTTGCTAAAGGGCAAAAGCTTTGGGATCTGACAGCCGAACAACATGTGGCTTCAACACTATCAAGCTGTGTATCTGTGTAAATTATCTCACCACTCTCTAGGTCTCCAGAGAAGTTGTAAGCTATCAAGAATACTGGTCTCTTCAGGCTCTTGTTAGAGATTCCTATAAAGAGTAATGTTTAGCTGCTGTTTATGTTAAAACAGATTGACTTGTCAATATGGCTATCTCACACAGAAATGTACAACTTTTGTGAACAAAACACAGTGCAGAATAATTGCAATGGAGATGAACTCCAAGAATTCATTTAAACGAAGAGCTACTACACAGTAGTCCTCAAGAGTAGGTGTGTGGGCAGGGAAGGTGACTCAGTAGTGGAGTGCTCACTTTGCATGCAAGAGATTCGATTCCTCAACTCCACATAAACAGAAAAAGTCTGACGGGGCTGGCTCAGTGGTAGGGTGCTTGCCTTGCATGCATGAGCCCCCCCCAAAAAAAACAGAGAAAAAGCCAGAAGTGGCACTGTAGCTCAAGTGGTAGAGCGCTAGCCCTGAGCTGAAGAGCTGAGGGACAGCACCCAGGCAGAGTTCAAGCCCTACGACCACCACCACCACCAACAAAAGAGTAGATGTGATATGGAGGGAGAAGGGGGGTTAAATAAAGTGAACCCTTCAAATTTGTCCACTAGGGTCAGGTGAAGGGCTGCCTTCTTGCTATTGGTCCTTTCAATATCAATATAGGATGTTGTCTGGATAGCACCCAGAGTGGTCATTTTCACAGAAAAGGCAAATCATGCTGCTTCTCTATTTAAACTCTGTCATCTACCTGTTACTCAAAATAAAAGCCAGTTTTTGCCAGGGTCACTAGGCTCCTGTGATTGATTCTCCATAGTTCTCCTTACCTCTAGCTCTCTTCTGCTTTCTTGTTTTCATTTGACTCTCTGATTTTTGTCTGCTTAAGGCTTTTGACTTTTTTCTGGGCCATATTAAAAACAACCCAAAACAAAAAATGACACGGCAGATGCCCTGCATTTGTGCAGTGCAGTCTCCTAATACTCCTTGCTTAAGCATTCACATACCTGTTGACCCCTAGTGGGACAGATGTGGAAGCATTGTAAGTTTTAGTAACATTGAATTTGTGTTTAATAGACGATTCTGCTTTCAGCATGGATAATGGGTTTAGGGGGAGCTCCACTTGCAGCAAAGGCCCAAAGAGAGAGAAGTTAGGGAGGTTTCACAACAGATTGGCTGGGAGCCTGCCCTGTGGTTGCTAGTGGAAGTGGAGAGGAATCCCAGCAATACTTTAATAATTGACGGGACCCAGTGCTCAAGTGAATATGGGGATTTGGAGAGGATATTTTAGGGGGAGACTCCAGCTTTCTGGTTGAGTCGCTGGTAGGTGAAGGAGCTCACTGTGGTGATCATGAGAGTTATGTCAGAAGATGGAGGCAGTGTGAAGACAGAAAGGGCCATGTGTGTCCTCTTGGAGTTTTCATTGAGCATTGCCCTTACAGCAGGCGTCGCGTTCGGGGTTGCTTTGAGGTCCAGGGAAAAGGTTAAGACTGGACATTTGAGTTATACATGGCTTTTTCTGAAAATGTACTTATTTCCCAGTTTTTGTTGTTTGTCAAATGCACCCTTCATACGTAACCTCTTCCGTTGTTAGCTTTTTCCTGTGGTGATCTCGGCTGATGTCACCTCTTCAATCCTAAAGCTTAGCCAAGGTGAAAGACCATCAGGCCTCACCCATCGGAGGGAAGACCCGGCCCTGAAGCCCAGGGGCAGTTCCCTCCTTCCAGCTGGCGTCGGGAGCTGCGTGGGGAGGGTTGGGGAGGGCCGGGAAGGAGGCGGGGGCCGTATCCATCCAGATTCACTATCCTTACCATCCGTTTGTTGACTGGCACCCCCTCCGTCCAGCTACCTAGGGATAATAAATGCAATGAACAAAGCCCAAGGCCCGCTGGCCGTTTCTGTCGGGCACGGCAGGAGGGAGAGGGCCAGCGGGCTCCCCGCAGCCTCAGCCCGGGCCCGGCTCAGCGTTGAAGGCGGCGCGTTCGGGGCCTGCAGGGGCCCCTCGTGGGGTGGGGGTGCAGGGGCCCCTCGTGGGGTGGGGGAAAGCCGGGGGCGGCGGGAGAGGCTCGCCGGGACCGCCGCAGCTCGGCGGTGCGCGAGCCGGCGCCCGCATTGTTCTGGCTCCATAGCAACTCGGCCACGCGGGCGGAGTAGGAGAAGGCAGCCGGGCGGCGCCGGCGTCCGTACGGCCCGCGGGCCCGCACCGGAGGCGGCATGCCCGAGAGGCGGCTCTCCGCGGGTAGGTGCCCGCCGTCCGGGCTCGCATCGGGGGCTCCCACCCGCCCGACCCCGGAGGAGGCCTCGGGGGCCTTGGACGAAGGCTCCCCCTGACCCAGGCCGCCGCCGCCGCCTCGCCGCGCGCCGGGCCCGCTGCAGCTGCAGTGCACGGAGCCTGGCCGCCCCGTTAACCCCTCCACCGGAGGTCCCAGCCTACCGGCGTGCACGGAACACGCCGACAGTGTGCACGGAACCCACCGACACGGTGCAGGGATCCGACCGACGGTGTGCACGGAACCCACCGACAGTGTGCAGGGAACCGACCGACCACGCAGGGAACCGACGGACAATGCAGAGAACCGATGGACAGTGTGCAGGTTACCGACGGACAATGCAGGGAACAGATGGACAGTGTGCAGGGAACCCACAGCGTGCAGGGAACCGACAGGGCCCCAGAAATGTCCTGAGCAAGGCCAGATCACCTCATTTATCTAAGAGGAAATCGGATTCCAGTGAGATAATGTCATGTTTTATCTCGTTTCAGAGCCACCCGTTATTACTGAAGAAGACTTTGTAAGTACAATTTAGAGAGGATACTTATTTTTTCCCTTTATTAAAAAAAATAGCAAATATTAGATCATAGAAGAAAGCTCTGTGTTTTTCCTTGTGCTAAAATGAGTAAAAGGTGTGTAGGAGGCCTTCACACACTCTTTAAAGCTACATTTTTAGGTAGGGGCAATTGATTTATATGGTAGATTTTCATCATTGTTACCGTTCTATCAACAGATCTCAGCTAATGCGTCTTCCAAACTCATGGTCTCCAGGCCAGATAGGTTTATCTCCATGGTTTTGTTGTGGCAAGGCCACATTCCAGTTCCTGGTTGCAGTAAACATTCGTAGATTGCGTTAATAGTGAGTCGTTTGTGGTTCATTTACAATCACTTTATATTTTTTTCTGTACATTGTTCTCAGTTCAGGCTTCTACAGGTATTTTGTCACATATACACATCATCCTTAGGTGTGTTACCTTTAGAGTGGGTTCTGTTTTACACTCCCCCTGTCTATGTAAGGAACTCATAGCAGATTCCAGACAGGAAGTAATGGTGCCTAGGCCTACTAAAGTCCCAGGAGAATTCCAGGAGCTTAGAAGCATTTTGTTGTTTACTTATGTCCTCCAGCACTTGTTCCTCCTCTTGCTGATTATGTGATTTTGCTTTTGCCTTTTGTTCAACAAAAAGAATGAATGTGTGTTCAGAGAGCAGTCTTGGATGCTGAGGGTCTCAAGAAGTTAACAGTCTACCAAGGGCAGAGAGAGAGAGAAGAAAGAGAGACAGAGACAGATACAGGAGAGAGAGAGGGAGGAGAGAGACAGAGACAGAGAGAGAAAGGGAGTGGAGGAGGAGGAAGAAGAGAGGAGAGAGAGGAGAGGAAAGGAAAGAGAGAGGAGAGGAGAGGAAAAAAAAGGAGAGGAGAGGAGAGAGAGGGAGAGAATTAGATCCATCTTTATAGACAGCTCCCAATTTCACTTTTCCAGACTGTTCTACTGCTGGGAAAGAAAGATATGAGGTAAGAGATATATGAGGTATGTGAATGTGCGCGTGCATCTTCTGGTTGTGTTGAGAAAGGTCTGTTTCATGAGAAATTTCTTTGAGTGGTCCTAGGACTTAAGTTGAGGTTTAGCAATACACCTCTTATTGGTTGCAATTGCTACTGCTTCATCTGACCTTATCAGCAAACTCATGATAGCTGGGCAACTCTATTAGCCTGTCTTTCTTGGTTTCTTTAATATTACGATCTCCATCTCATTTTTATTCCCCTCTTCTGCTTTCTTTCTTTTCCCATGAAATTATCAATCTTGTCCAGTTTTCTGTTTTACAAGATTTCTGTAGGTGAGCTCCTCTTTGTGCCTCTAACTTCAGCCACCCCCATTTCATAGGAATTCCAAATTGACCACTTACAGCTCAGATATCACCTTTGATGCCACTTGTGCCTTTCTAGTGGATTCCTAGCCGTTGTCATTAGCATGCCTCTGTTTCACCCTCCCACTGAACTTCTTTCTTCCCTCTCCTACCTCTAATGCTGCTTTCCTTCACTTTCTCTTATTTTGGTTAATGATGGCACTAGCTACTCAATTACCCAAGCCAGAGCTTTTCTTCCTTTTCTATTTCCCAAGTGCAAACATTTTAGAAGTTCCTTTCTTAGTAAGCTTTTTTTAGGCCCTGACATGGTGGCTTATGCCTATAATCCTAGCAATTAAGGAAACACAGATTGGGAGGATCTCAGGTCAAGGCAAGCCCAGGCAAAACATTTCCAAATACTCCAGGTGTAATTTTGCACACCTATAATCCCAGCATTGGGAAGATATAGCTAGAAGGATCATGTCTGAAGCCAGTCCTAAGCAAAAACAGGAGGCCTTATCCAAAAAACTAAGGCAGAAAGAGCCAAGGATATGGATGAGGTAATAGAGAGCCTTCCTAGCAAATTTTAGGCACCAAAGTTCAAACCTAAATCCTAGAACCTCAAAAAAAATTTTTTTCTACATCCTTGCAGCTACTCTCTTATTTCAAGCCCCTCTTTCTGGGCTTGGACTTTGACAATAGTTCTCATATTCTTGTCTTCAATATTTCCTCTGCCACCTCTAAGTTTCTGTGCATCAGTTCATTAGATCACATGTGGTTGTTTTGCTCAGTCTACCTTGAGATTTTTTCCTTTTCTGGTCATCCTGGCTATCAGGATTTCAAAAATACTCATATTAAGCCAGAAGTGGTGTTGTATATATTATGTCTTATAGATACCTGGAATCCCAGCTGTAGTCTCTAATCTCTGCCTGGAGACAGAGAGAGGAGAATTGCAGTTTGAGAACACTTAGGGCAAAAGCACAGATTACTGAAAAGCAAACTAAAAGCAAAAGGATTTGGGAGCATGTCTCAAGTGATAAGAGCACTTGATTAGCAAGCCTGGGGCTCTTAAGTTCAATTCCTAGTAATTCCAAAATTATCTGTTCATCTATCTATCTGCCCATCAGTTACTTGACTGAATAGAGCTTATATTAATAGCTAGGATTTAGTAAATGTTGACTACATACTAATATTCAATCTCAAAACAACCCTAAGAGGTGGTTATTTTTTTACAGGTAAGGAAGTCAAAGTTCACAGAGCTTAACAACTGGACTTGAGATCCAACTGGACTTCTGTAAAGCCATTCAAACTTTTCCAGAATTTTTCATTCTTTAGCTTGCTGCCCCAATACTTTCTCTGTGATAAATACAACATCCATCCTGTTTTGGGCTTATAAAGTACTTCCACATGCCTTCTGCTCCAGCCAAACTACCCTGCTTGGCTCCTGCCTTTGCTGTCGAGTTTTGTCCCAGTTGCCCTTCCTCATCCATTTCACAATCTTGCACATTTTTCCAGGCCTAGCTCATCTCCTCCACAAAACCTTTCCAACCTAACATCATCCAGACTGCCTTGGCGCTCTGAGCAGCTTCCTTCAGAGACTAGTTTGTGACCCGACCCAAAAATTACACCCTCTACTTTGAAAAACAGTCCTCCAAATCTCAGTCTCTTGAGTTGTTAGCGTTGCAGGCATGGGCCATGGCACCTGGTTAATCAGCTTTAATTTTTCTTTTCATTGTGCCTGTACTAGGTTTGAACTCAAGGACTTTTTACTCTTTCACTGATGGCTAGTGCTCTGCCATTAGAGCCACAGCTCCACTTTTGACTTTTTGTCAGTTAATTAGAGATGAATGTCTCATGGACTTTTCTACCTGGGCTGGCTTCAAACTGCAATCCTCAGTAGTCTCCTGAGTAGCTAGGATTATAGGTGTTAGCCAGTGGTACCTGGCTTTCAACTTTTTTTTTAATACATCTAAAAAATAAGTTATAAACATTGATATTACTCCATAATACTTCATTGAGTATCATGAGCTAATGTTCAATATCAGTTGGTTATTTTGTTGATGTAAAATGTATGTACAGTGTACTACAAATATTTTTGAAAATATCATTTGATAAATTTTGACAAATGTATGCATCTGTGTAATCCAAATTTTTGTCCTCATACAAAACATTTCTATGATTCTAGAAAATTCCTTCAGGTTCCCGTCCAGTTGATTTTTGCTTTCATTTCCAAGACAACTATCCTGTGCTTGTCTCTCTGACCTTTGTTCATACATTTTGCTCTATACTCTGTATAGACTTTTGTATTTGTAAATATAGAATTGGAGGTCATTTGAACACATTTCAAATGCTATTTTCATGTTTCCACTGTCTCTTCTTTCCGCCAGATAATTCCTTTCCTTCCCTTGGAGAAAACTTTATATTCTAATTTTCTTGTAGTATGTACTATATTCTTTCTTGGAATGTGTTTTTTTTTGTATTTATCTTATTTCCTCTTCCTTGTTTGTAAGATCTTTGTTGTATATCTTACATCTTCTAGAATTGTGAAGAAACTGAGCCAGGCACCGGTGGCTCATTCTTGTAATCCTAGCTACTCAGGAGGCTGAGATCTGAGGATCACAGTTCAAAGCCAGTCTAGGCAAGGAAAGTCCATGAGACTCTTTTTTTTGGGGGGGGGTGGGCCTGGGCGCTGTTCTTCAGCTCAAGGCTAGTGCTCTACCACTTGAGCCACAGCACCACTTCCGGCTTTTTTCTTTTTGCTTATATGGTGCTGAGGAATCGAACCCAGGGCCTCATGCATGCAAGGCAAGCGCTCTACCACTGAGCCACCTTCCCAGCCCTCCATGAGACTCTTATCTCCAATAAACCACTAGAACTGGAAATGGCACTGTGGCTCAAGTGGTAGAGTGCTCACCTTGAGCTGAAGAGCTGAGGGATAGCACCCAAGCCCAGAGTTCAAACCCCAAAAAAAAAAAAAAGAATTGTGAAGAAATTGTGTAACAAAATAAGCCAGCCAATTTAAACGAAACTGCCATAATTAGTGAAAGTATATAAACTATTTTGCCTAACCCTCTTTCAGTAAGAAATTTAAGAAGTTTGGACTGAAAATGGAAAAGCTGACTTCATTTTCACAGACCGCACACCTGTAATACATGAAAAACCAGGTTTCAAGAATATATTCAATTCTGAAGATGTGTTTCACCTTCCATTGCATCATTCAGCAGAGAATATGTGTTGCAAATTTTGCACTCAAGTTTACGGAATGACATAATGGAGGAACTGACCGTAACTCAATTTTCTCGATTATACCTTTCACCATCCACAGTTTGTTGGTTATTTGGAAATAATAAATCTGAGTATGGGTTATTCATTTCAAGTGTCCTAGCCATTGGATTGTGGGAAGTTAATGAGAATAACTGAGTTACTTTTTCAGATCAAAATCTTTAACATAGCTTTTCTTTTTTAAAAAAAAATTGAAGTGCTTTGGGAATAAAGGGTTTATCAAATATTGGTTGGTTTGCAAGATTGTCTGCCTATTGATGTGACAAGGTATTTGAACATATTGCTGTAGTAACTGCAGTGAAAAATTCTCATTTAGAGAAGTTTGGGCCTACCTTCCTGTTGAAATGCCCAGAGGATTCTACACTTATTTACTGTGATGGAACTGCTCAGGCCAACAGAACTGGCAGTGTTTCATATTGAGATAAATTAAAATACAATTCTAGAAAAGAAATATCCATTGTGATGTATTGAAATAATAAAGTAGGTCCCCATGGTTGTATGTAAGTATAAGCCTGAAGATGAGTAAATGCCAGGAACTGGCAAATCAACAAGGGGTTAGGACCAAGGGCTACTAGTGCCACATTAGAACCCATTAGCCCTTGGAAAGATGAGCTCAGAAATTGACAGTGAACATTTGTAAACTATAGCAATTGTACAGGGTAGGTTTATTGAATTTTTGTTGTTGTTGTTAGTTGTGGGGCTTGAACTCTAGGCCTGGGTGCTGTCCCTCAGCTCTTTAACTCAAGGTTAGCACTCTACCACTTAAGCCATAGTGCCCCTTCCAGTTTTCTCGTGGTTTATTGGAGATAAGAGTCTCACGGACTTTCCTGCCTGGGCTGGCTTTGAACCACGATCCTCAAATCTTAGTTTCTCAAGTAGTTAGGATTATAGGCGTGAGCCATGGGAGCCTGGCCACATTTATTAAATTTAACAATAAAAATGGACTTGTGATGTATGTCCTTTATTTCACTTCCTACTAATTATTCTTAGTGTTTTTCATTAAAGTTTATATTGACTAAAGAAAAAGCCCCCCCCCAAAACCCTCAAGCAGGTGCTTTATCATATATACTTCATTGACTTTGAGTCTCTTGGGAGTGTAAAGCATCTGGAGATGGATGTATGAGTCTGAGGGTTCTCTAGAAAATTTTGTCAATGTGGCTGGTCAAATTCCAGGGAGGATTTGGACCTACAGGTTCTATGAAATGCACATTGTACATGATGTTAAAATTAAAAATAAGTTGGGTGCCCGTGGCTCATGCCTGTAATCCTAGCTACTCCTACTACTCCTACTCAGGAGGCTGAGATCTGAGGATCACGGTTCAAAGCCAGCCCGGGCAGGAAAGTCCTTGATATTCTTATCTCCAATTAACCGTGAGAAAGCCGGAAGTGGTAGAGCAGTAGAGTGCTCTACTTGAGCTGAAGAGCTGAGGGACAGCACTCAGGCCCAGAGTTCAAGCCCTACATCTGACAAAAAAATTAAAAAAAATTAATTAATTAATAAAAATACATATTTTACAAAAACTAAGAAGGACTGGGTGCTAGGGGCTCGCAATTGTAATCCTACCCACTCAGGAGGCTGAGATCTGAGGATTGCGGTTCAAAACCATTGCAAACCAGGTTGTCCATGAGACTTTTAGCTCCAATAAACTACTCAGAAAAAGCCACAAGTGTCACTGTGGCTCAAGTAGTAGAGTGCTAGCCTTAAGAAAAAGAAACTCAAGGACAGTGGGCCCAGGCCCTGAGTTTTAGCTCCAGGACCTACACTAAAAGCAAGAGCCTAAGAAGGGATTTCCTCCCCTACTACTGTTAATTTTCAAATATGTACCCTATCCTTCCCATCTTCAGACTCTTGATCCCTTAGCCAGTACTGTAAAATTTGGCTCCTCTATTGTAACACAATGGTTTCTATTTTAGAGATACTACAAATATTTATTAAATTCAGATGTTTTCTTGTAAGAGTTAGCAGAAACTGGGTATCACACAAAAGATAGTCCAGAGACTTAAAGTAACTTTGAAAGGTAAATAGCCTCATGGTTTGCACAGAATATCTGTCTTCTTCTGATTAGATCTTTGCCAATCAGAACTTTATTTGAGCATATATTCCTAAGGTAGTGTTAGATTTATTAAATCCTTAGTTTGTATTGTTTCCAACATTTGACATTTTTAGTAAGCCAAACCCTGTGTTGATCAGTTGAGAGTTTTAGTTGAGTTCCTTTATAAATCCTGTGTTTATAATTCTCTTCTCCTGACACTGCAGTTACTTAAAATTTCTGTGAAAATATATTTTCCAAGGTAGGTATACATTTACAATAGTATGTTCTATATAGCACTATACTTTAATAATTTTTTTAAAAAATTGGCCAGTATTTGTAAAAAGGAAGTCTCCAGCCATATGGAAATAATAGCATTGTGTCATGTTGTCAACTTTTGTGTTAGATTTGCAAAACTGAAGTATAATTATGAATAACAAAATAATCACATATACTATGCAAGAGAGTGTGCTATGATGTGCTTTTGACACAATGGAAACAGTGACTAATAAAATAAGGTGTTGTATGATTTGGAAGAGAGATTTTGTTCTTGGCAGTAGCTTTTTGATTTTGCCAGTTGTAAAAGTGGCTATGCTGGTAGATGAGATAGTTATGGAAAAAATGTATACAATCTATGCTTAGAACACATACTGGCAACATTTCCTTTTGCAAAAAGGAAGCAGGACTCAGATTATGAAAACTGTATCTCATTCCTAAGGGGAATGAGCAATTAAGAAGTTCATATTTTCACCTTTCTTTTAACTTCCACCAAAGTGTCTGCCTTTATTGACTTTGCCTCATTTTTATGAATACACATATCTTCCAGATATTATCTTGTGTTTGTTGAAGTTTCATTTCGGTGTTGTGCTACATTTTTCATGTGCTTAGTTTTCTGGTTAACTATGCCAGCAAAGTCTCTTATGAGTATGTTCTATTCTGTTTTCTAATTCCTTCCTTCCAGAGGCTGTATCCCTTGTGTTAGGTTTATAATGAAGATTCAAAGTTGGCTAGAAAATCTTTGAAGATCTACATGATAACACATCAATAGAAGAATTAGAGAACAATAATCATTAAAAAACAAATCTTAGCTTGATTATAAAATTGTGATTTTATATTTTTTACAGGAAGATTGTTTGGCAACAGATGACTTCCTTGTGGACTACTTTAATGAATTCCTAAGCCTTCCAGTGAGTGTATTAGTATGTTCTATTAACTATATTATCAAATCAAAATATTGTAATCACTTAAATTACCAGGTGCCAGAGGCTCACACCTGTAAACCTAGCTACTCAGGAGACTAAGATCTGAGGATCGTGGTTCAAAGCCGGACAGGAAAGTCCACGAGACTCTTATCTCCAATTAACCATCAAAAAACTGGAAGTGGCATTGTGGCTCAAAGTGGTAGAACACTTGCCTTGAGCTGATGAGCTAAGGGACATGGCCCAGGCCCAGAGTTCAAGCCCTATGAACAATAAAAAAAAATTACCTTATGAGACAAATTTATCAGGAATAATATAATTTTTCCTAAAAGATTGCTTGAGGAATTTTGGTAAATTTATAACTTTTTATAGAATTTTTCATTTGGAGCCGGGCGCTGGTGGCTCACACCTGTAATCCTAGCTACTCAGGACGCTGAGATCTGAGGATCGTGGTTCAAAGCCAGCCCAGGCAGGCAAAGTCTATGAGACTCTTATCTCCAATAAACCACTAGAAAACTGGAAGTGGAGCTGTGGCTTAAGTAGTAGAGGGCTCGCCTTGAGCTAAAGAGCCGAGGGACAGCGCCCAAGCCCCACGACTTACCCCCCCCAAAATAATTTTTCATTTGGGTTTGAATCTCATTTAGAACTGTCATCCTCTTGAATTGACATTAAAGGAGAATTTGTATTTAGAGGAATTAGGATTTGTATTGATGACAAATAAGATTCAGAACATTGTTGTTTATATAGCACAGGTAGATGCCAGTTAATAAAGTTTGTGCCTTAGCAGTGATGGCTAGAATATTAAAGAGTAGTTTGGGAAACATGAGAGTTTATAAAAGGGCTTATATTGTTGTGTTGTATGTAAATTATAGGCTAATCAGAAATGGCAGTTAAGGAAAAGAAAACATTTTTATTACATGTTATAAAAACATGAAAACCTTTCTCAATAAAAGTTTTACTAGGGCCAGGCACAGCCAATGATTGTAATAAAGAGTTACTTGGGAGGTAGAGATTGAGAGGATTGTGGTTTGAGACTAGTAGTGGCAAAAGGTTAGTGATACCCTATTTCAACCGAAAAAAGCTAGCATTTCCCAGGCATCAATGGTTCATGCCTATAATCTTAGCTACTCTGGAGGCTGAGATCTGAGGATCATGGTTGAAAAACAGCCTGGGCAGGAAAGTTTGTGAGATTCTAATCTCCAGTTAACCACCAGAAAACTTGAAGTGGCACTGTGACTCAAGTGGTAGAGCACTAGCTTTGAGCTGAAGAGCTGAGGGACAGTGCCCAGGCCCAGAGTTCAAGCTCCATATCCAACCAAAAAGAAAGCTAATCATGATGGCATACATATGTTTTTTTATCTGCGTGGGAAACATAAAATAGGAGAGTCATGGTCCAAGCTGGTCTGTACACAAACATGAAATTCTATTTGAAAAATAACTAGAATACAATGACTTGGGCATGACTGAAACTGTAGAGCACCTACCTGGCAAATACAAAGTCCTGAGTTCAAACTCCTCCTATATTGCCGTCCATTTGGAATATAAAGAAGCCATAAATAGTTTTTAAAGGAGTAGACCATAAAATGTTAATCTTTTAACAGTGTCTTTTGAAGGGTAAGTACTATCCTGTATTTTCTTGCCTATTAGTTTTTGCATACACATATGTGCACATGTATGGTGATTTTTCTTCCCTAAAGAAATTATACTTTCTCTTCCGTTTTGCACAGCTAAGCTAGTCGTTATAAGGATTAGATTGATACCAAGTCACCTCCTCTGTTTCCAGACACAGATCTGAGGGACACTACAGGATATTCAGGATCCTTATCGGGTCTGACTCTTAATTTCCAACATTCCGTTTTTTAAAAAACAAACAAACCTGGAAGTGCCAGATGCCATTGGCTCATACCTGCAATCCTAGATAATCAGGAGACTGGAAATCTAAGGATCACAGTTCAATGCCAGCTTGGGCAGAAAAGTCCATGAGACTCCTAGCTCCAATTAACTCGCAAAAATCTGGAAGTGGAGCTGTGCCTTAAGTGGTAAAGTGTTAGCTTTGAGTACAAAACTCAAGAATACAAGGATAGCCAGGCCCTGATACACAGGATACACACACACACATACACATACACACGCACACACACACACACACACACAATCTCAACACACACACACACACACACACACACACACACAATCTCAAAATTGCCAGAGCTTTTCTTTTCCAAATTATACAACCTTCTTTAGTTCTGGAAGATCTACTATTCCTCCCTAAGAAGTATATTTTGTAAACGTTTAAAAGAAAAATCTGTATATCAGTCTAAAATTTCAGTTTGTCCACATTTAAATTTCAGTGTTTCAAGATTTGAAATGATCTCAAGTTGGTATGATTTGCTCCAGAAAATACATGCCCTACCTTTCTTTTTCAAGTATCTATTTTAAATTATTGAAATAATATAATAGTAACAACATACAAAAACTATGTGAAAAATTCAGCCATAATCTTACCAACGAGTCAAAACAGGCATTACTATTTTTGTTTATTTTCTTCCAGGCTTTAGGTCAAGCCGCAGTGAGATACTGTTGAACCCTATGGAGTCATGGCTCTCATTTCTCCCCAACACACACTCACAGTTTGGCTCTTTCATGCATCCCCTGCAGCCCCTCCAGGCTCTTTTCTGCCTCTTCAACTCCTGTCTTTATCCCCCTTCCTCTCCTTTTATTTTTAGTTCTTTTTGTATCTACATTCATTTGCATCTACTATGTAGCCAACCTATTATTCATTCTCCATACCACTAGACAGGAAAAAGGAAAATATTGTCAAGGGCTTTCAAAAAAGAAACTGGGGCAACAGGGTACTGGTGGCTCACACCTGTAATCCTGGCTACTCAGGAGACTGAGATCGGAAGATGGAGCTTGAGAGCCAAGCCTGGGCATGAAAATCTGTGAGACTCTTATCTCCAATTAACCACCAAAAAGCAGGAAATGTAGCTCTGGCTCAAGTGATAGAACACTAGCCTTTATAACCTTTAACAAAAATGCTCAGGGACAGTGCCCAGGCTGAGTTCAAGGTCTAGAACTGGTACACACACACACACACACACACACACACACACACACAAATTAGGGGCAAAGAGAAGGAATGATGAATTCTCAAACCAAGTATCTGGCTCAATTTTGAAACATATTTGTAATGTTTGGTTTATGAGCACTTAGTGAAGAATTAGAAGCCAGAATGGGTTTACGGAGAACAAATGTGCCAAACTAAGCTCTCTCTTTGGATAGTTATAAACTAGCATATTAGAGTATTGTAAATTTAGTGTATTATGATTTCAATAAAGAATTATAAAAATAATAAATTGAGTCATGTTACTTCCTGCTGTGCTCAAAACCCTCTCATTATACTAAAGATAAATTCCAGGATCCAATATGATCTGGCTCTTGCCATCTCATGATCTTTATTTCCCTTTTCCTTTGTTAATTCTTTTCTTAACTAGCCTTCTTCATGTTTCTGAAAAATGAGTATGCCAAGAATATTCAATGTTTTTAGCCTGGAATGCTCTTCTGTGAAATATTTGTATCACTTTCCCTCTGACTTAGATCACTTCTGTTCAGAAAGCCTTTCCCCAACCCTATCTAAAATAATATCCCCAACACATGCTTTGCTTATATTGCTTTTTTTTGTCCCCAAAGCCCTTATCATTATCTGTGAAATTCATTTTCAAATATTTGAACTGGTTCACTAACTATAACCAGTAGAGGTTGATTCTTAATAGCCTACAGATTGAACTCCGCATTCCTTTGTATGGAATTTAAGACCCTCTGCAATTTGGCCTCCATATAACCTTTCTAGCTTGATCTGTAGCTTCATACTCCTTATGTCACTCTGCAAACTCTTTTCAGTCTCTTCTAACCCACCTACCCCACCTTGACCACATTTGGAGCTCCTATGTTTATCCCTAACTATGTCATAGTTACCAGGAGTAAGACAAAACTGTATTTGATTCTGGACCTTCCACTCAGTAGCAATGTGATTTTTAGAATCATCACTCACTTAAATCTTCTACTTCATTCTATATGAAAACAATGTACCTTACAAAATTGTTATGAAGTGAGGTAATACTACCAACTAGTGTTTCTTTTTCCTTTCCTTTCACTAACTAGACCATCTCATCTTTCATTCCTGAAACATAACTGGCAATCATTCTTTAATTGCATTGGTAGATGGTTGTCAATCTAGAGGATAATGTTCTGTGCTACACAAGTGTCTCATTGACTTTAAAAATTATTTTTATTAGACTTGCATGAAAAATTGTAAGAAAACCAGTATTTTTCCAGTTTAGGGTCACTCAGTAAATGGTAGGGTCCACCTAGGGCTGCATGGCTCAGAAAGTTTAGATTGTCCCATTGTATTTACTGATGTCTACAAAACTAGCAACAGAGGAGGAAAGTGATAACTACTCTGGTCTTATTTTAATCCTGATATGTATTATGAAGTGAGCTAAACCAAACAAAGCTGATATATTTTTAGGGTATATTAATAGAGTGATATGGTCAAGATCAAGAAAAGTATTAGCCTAGAGCATAGAAAACATTCTGTTCTTGGTGCCATATGTTAAGAATTGCTCTGCCAAAGCAGATTCAGGGAGCTTCAGCCTGGGAACACTCAGGAAACCACGTCAGTTGAGGAAGGGTTGAAAGAAGTCTAAGTGTTGAGCCTGGCGTGGGACTGGATGACAGAGAGCAGCCTTTTGAAATAATTTGAGGACTTGATTGAGGGAGATTGGTTAACATATTATGTGAAAGTAGAAGGCAGAACTGGAACCACATTTATGATTTTTAAGATAGTTTTCAAACTATAAGATGGGCTGGTTTATAAAAAGGTAAATAACATGGGATTGGAGATATTCACGTAAAGAGTAGGAAATCACCTTACAAGAATATTTTATGTGGAAGATTATCTATTTGTCCACTTGTCTGTGTCTATTATC